TAATCTTTGTGTGTATGTGTGTGTGTGTTTTAGCTTAGTTTTAATGTAATCTAGAATAGCTAATAAATTCTTGTTTTCATTTATAAAGAAGTATTGTCTGGTGTCGTATAATTTTAAGGTTAAACCTTGCCAAGATCTTGCTACCTAGCTCGTAGCGTATAACTTATCAAATAACTTATTAACCCGTGGTCAGGGAAAATACATAGTCAAATTGTTAATATACACTGACATTAACGTCTCGCAGGACGAGTAGCTGATAAGGTGTAAAATAACAAATTTGAAATCAGTTTTAATCAGGTGGACCTCGAATTTTCAGATTCGAGTCCTCTCAAAACCTGAGCTAGAAATAAAATTAGTGATTAATTCCCTTATAGGAATTAATGAGTTAAATTCCTTACAATCCTTTAATGAGAGTTAGCAACTACACTAAAAATCCACACTATGTGCCATGCCACAAAAGCTTTATTATACAGTGAATTAAGCCATGCATTATTAATATCATGTATATAAACAGAGATGCAACTCTAGCCATAGTTCAGTGGATTCAAACTGTTGGTATAAATAAGCTGCTTGCACTGTTTCTTCGCTCTTTTCACTGCAGGAGATGGTTTAACACGGGCATTAACATGATGCTAAATATTGGTCAGGAGCTGCGTTAAAGAGAAGCTACTCACTGCAGAGTAAATGGGTGGAGCTTACGTCTCGCTCCTCCCTGCTAGACGTCCAGCGAGGAGGAGCAAATGTCATTTGTGCCTAATGATTGGAGCTAGAATATCCAACCACACCCTAACCTTACCCACCACTCTCCCTCCACCCCATTAGATGTCCAGAGAGATGGAGCTGGAAGTCATTTGACTCTGCAGTGAGTACCACTTAGCAATAAAGGCTGTGCAGACTGAGATTAGTGCTACAAAGCTCAATGGCATCAGTCTCTGATTAACCAAGAGAGAGCTATTATTATAAAACAACAAAGTCTGATTTGAAAAGGAATATTAAACTTCATACTCTTATATTTTATCTTGCAAAGAACAGCTCTTGCTGCCAGAATCACATTAGATGAAAAAGTCCATAGGCTACATATTACAGAAGAAAAAAAAGAGAAGAAAAGCCTCCAAAATAAACAAATAACAAAAACACCAAAGATAAATTCTAATTTTCCCGAAGGAGCTGAAAAAAACAAAACAAAATCACAACACTCACTAGCAAGCCCCAAGAAAATTAATAACAAAATTGCAACTAATTTCAGGCAGACCTTAATTGAGTGTTTGCATTTTAAGCCTGCCCTCTAAAACATTCATATAGTTACACTTTTATGTATTTACATATTTTGTTATGACACCTACTGTATATAGCAAAGACAGTAATATATTGAGATTAATTTTAGCCTCTTAACTTTAGAATTGTTTTTGTAAACAGACTAATATTTCACACAAAATAGTTTGAAATTAAACAATAATTGACAGACCACCTGCGGTACCACCATGGACGTCCTAGGCCTTATGGACTCCCTGTTGAAGACCCCATCACTAATGAATGACTAATAAATGACTCCCTAGTTGAAGACCAGACCTTAAACAAGAAGTTTGTAAGATTCTCTTAATCCAGTTTGTTGCTCATCGACTACTATAAGTACGTCATTAATGGGTTTATCTCCCCCAAAAGTGTAAACATTGAACTTCCCAGGCAGGCACCATCAAAAGATTTAGGGTGGCCCACTCAAGATTTGTCAATCTTTTTCCAACCTAAACTAAAGAGAGAGACTGGGGGGTAGCTACTATTGCAGGCAGAGCCAGAGGGTGTTTAGCCGGTGTTGGACCATGGCTGATGCGTTACATGGGAAAATAAATTCAGATTTGGTTATAGAAGTGCAAGTCAAAATGCGAAGATTTGCCAAAATATGCAGAAATAGACAATGGGGTAAAACAAGGGTTAACTTTGGCGGTGCTTTTAAAAGATATAGGAATTAAATGGAATGTTTGGGTTTCAATCAAGATGCGGAACTTGTGGAGCTTCTTCTTAACAGGTACTGTAAAGCTAAACTCAAGTTTCTGCCACACATGTTAGCTGTGTACTATCAATCCCCAAATGAAATAATAAGATATTGTAGGGATAAGAATAATAGTAAGGAAGTGATGAGGTATAAGGTTGTTTGAAAATATGCTTTATTTTTTTATATATATCCCTTTCATATATATATATATATATATATATATATATATATATATATATGCAACCCTTTCTGTCTATTTTTATGCATCTCTTTCTGCAGCCCAGAGTAAAGTACAATTCCTTGAAGGCCAGAAGCTCTCAGATACCGAGGTATGTGTATTATTTTTATCTATCATCTAGAGTTTCTTTATTTTTCCCTCCTCTTATACACTCCCTCTCATTTTCGACCCTGCTTCAACACTCAAGACCACGCAAGACAGGGAGTTGTGAGTCATATCTCTTGTTCTCATCTAATCTCTCTCCTTTTTTCTCCCCCGTAAACATTTGTGACTGAGCATTCTGGACTGCACTGATTTCTCATCTGAGAGCGCTGATGGGGGCAGAAGGTAATTGGAGGGTGAACTGTGACCTTCACACCTCAAATCTTTGATCTGCGCCCTACATTCAGGTGCAGAGAAATGATGTGGAATTCTATAGCACACACACATCGTTCACACACCGCAACATCTCAGCTGGTGACTCATTCACAGCTAGTTACAATGTCTGAGATTTCTCTCATGGCGTGTGTATGTGGCCCAGAATTTTCAATGAGATTTGATACTGAATAGAGCCTGTCACAGCGTTTCGAAATGTCAAGTGTCTCGGCAGCACTGATGATTCTGAAAAAAAGAAAGCCGAGGGATGTTGATTTTACCCAGATGTCTCGCATTGATAGCATCTTCTTCTTGTACTTGCTCTGTATAATAACTTCAGTTTGATGGACATGTTTATTCAAACAAACAACATGAATTGACAGCCCTCCACAGTGAATGCATGCATGAGGAGGGGGTAAAATGTCACTTACGCCCATCTTCAGCTACCACCTCCATGGTGTAGGTGCTGTTCTCCTCTCTGTCCAAAGCTTGGACCGTCTTGAGCTCTCCGGAGTACTTCCCAATGGAGAAATATTTCTTAGTGTCTCCTCTCAGTGAATACCTGAAGAAAGAACAGCGTTTGAATCACATATTCTCTTTCATAATCAAGCAATTATAACATTATGGATTATAATGCAAAAAAAAAGGGCTTTAAGTAAAACAATCTACAAAGAATTACATTAAATTGATCAAAAGTGAGAGTAAAGATATTTGAAATGTTACAAAAGATTTTTATTTCAAATAAATGCTGTTCATTCTATTCATCAAAGAATCCTGAAATAAATGTATCACGTTTTCCACAAAAATATAAAGCAGCCCAACTGTTTTCAGATTTTAAATAATAATATGTTTTCAGCATATTAGAATAATTTCTGAAATATCATGTGACACTGAAGACTGGAGTAATGGCTGATGAAAATTCAGCTTTACCATCACAGCAATAGATTACATTTTCAAATATATTACAAAAGAAACCAGTTATTTTAAATTGTATTGTATTGTACTGTTTTAATGTATTTTAGATCAAGATTCAGATTATTTTCCACCTTCCAATGGAAAATAATTTAAATCTATATGAACAACAAACGACATGATAAATTATGCTTCCACACATTTACACTTCTGGATTAAGAGTTTTTGTTTGTTTGTTTATTTGTTTTTAACAAGTTTTTAAGCAAATAGTGAGTTTTCTCTGTGTGTTTTAGATTTTGAGAATGAGGTGTGCGTGTCAGTTGAAATGTATTAATTTGGGGAATCTCTGATTGTTTACGATTGAAAGGGACAGCTGGAAATTGTTGCAGGATGGCAATTGATGTATAGATACAATTTGTATTGTGATTGATAGTTTTACTAATTTAAATGACTGAAATATCACCTTACCTGATTGGATGAGAGTCAGGGTCATAACCTCTGATTGTGGCAATAACACGTCCTGGCTCCTCCCCTTCTCTGACAGTGACTTCATAATGGCTTTGAGACAAAACGGGGCCTTCATTGATGTCATCGATAAAAATGGTGACAGTTGCTGTGGATGCTGGTCCGTACCTGCCTCGGACCAGAGCAACTGGGTTCTGAGCGCTCAGTACCAGTATATACTCATTCTCCCGCTCAAAGTCCAGCACCTGCACGCAGTTGGCCAATGAGCACACTGTTACTACATTACATTTTTTTTTCAAGAGAAAATAATGCCACATTGTAATTATGAAAATAATAATATAAAAATAACAAAAAGCAGTGTTCTGATTTTCACAGGCAGTTGTTTTAATAATCTGTACCAGCACACTGTAGACCAGGACAAAATCACACAATATGAGAGTGTCTCACTGGTCATCACAATGTGTCAAACTGCATTTCTGAAGGTAAAATGTGTTCAAATCAGGTTCTGAATGACCCATTGTATGCTCTGATGTCATTCTTCAGACTGAAGGTCAGATATTTCTCTGGATGCTCACAACCTGCTGACATCACTCTGGCTGTATGTCATACACTGGGCTGTCTTGGTAACAGAATGCAGATAAATGCCGATCTGAGAGCGGGCGATGTCAAAACAGTTTTTGGTTATCCATACCTGTAATTGTCATCTTTTCATTTTCATTTCTCATTTAACTTAATTCTCAAGGCTTCACCTTTAAAGCTTGTTTGTTGAAAAATCAACAACAACAACAAAAATCATCCAGATTGAAAAATGCTCGCCAGACCCGGGAAATGAATTGGGGACCACAGTCTGACATGATGTCCTCGGGTAGTCAGCTGCTTCCATCACAGTGGGTAGACCCTTTAGCGGAATGAGTTTGGCATCTTGTAGATACTCCCGATTTTTGTGATCTGTGATGACGGTAAATGGGTGACGGGAGCCCTCGAGTCAATGCCTCCACTCCTTGAGGGTCAATTTCATGCCAATCAGCTCACGGTTACCAATATCATGGGACAGTTTTTTTGAGTAGAAGGCACATGGATGGAGTACCAGAGGTTCACCCTGCCACTGAGAGAGGATGTCTCCCATCCCGGTGATGGATGCGTCTACCTTGACCAGGAAGGGAAGCTTGTGATCAGGAAGCACAAGGGCAGGAGCTGATGTAAAGGCGTCCTTCAGTTGTTGGAAAGCCTCTTGTGCAGCAGATGTCCAGGATAGGGACTTGGGCCTTTGTTGGAGCAGGGATGTTAAAGGTGAGCTGAGCTGACTGAAATTAGCCATATACCGGCGGTATAAATTGGCAAAGCCCTGGAAGCATTAGAGATCCTTGATGGTGCTTGGAGTAGGCCAGTACCTTACTGCCTGGACCTTCTTCGGGACTATTTGTATGCCGTTGCGGTGAATAATATAGCCCAGAAAGTGAAGCTTGTCACGATGGAACTCACATTTCTCTAGCTTGTGGTAAAGATGGTGTGGTCTCAGCTTGGTCAGGACCTGCTTCACATGGTGGCGATGTTTGGTCAGGTTCCAGGAGTAGATCAGGATATCATTCATGTAGACAATGACGAACTGGTGGAGTAACTCCCGGAACACCTCGTTCATGAAACCCTGGAATACGGAGGGTGAGTTAGCAAGCCCATACAGCATGACTTGATATTCATAATGCCCAGATGGAGTAACAAAGGCGGTCTTCCACTCGTCACCCTCACGTATCTGGATGAGATTGTACGCGCTCCACAGGTCCAGCTTAGTGAAGATGCAAGCTCCCCGCAGTTGCTCCAGGGTGGCAGGGACTAAGGGTAGAGGATAACTGTCACAGTGAGGCTCTGTGATTAGAGGCTCTTATTATGAGAAGGACACTTAATTTGACACGAGACTGTGAACATACATGTATGCATACACTTCCCTATCTGTTTTGCGCAAATTGAACACCAGTTAACACAGATATGTTTGTGTCACTGATCATGTATATTAATTAATGTTCCTGTCCTCATGTCATTTCTTCCTCAGTTTAACATTTAATGATTCTTAAATTTTACTATGTTGATTTATGTATTGTGTTGTGTTAAGAAGTAAAGCAAGACTTGTAATCATATTACAACTTACATATTGTAAATAGTCATACTTACATACTGGAACATTTTCCCACCCCAAACAGACAAAACCCAGTCACAGTAAATGCCACCATTTTGAAGATTGCATTCCTCATCTTCAAGAATCGGCTAAAAACACATTTCTTCCATCTTTATTTGACCCTCTAACTCTAGCACTCTCTATTCTAATTTTATTTATAAAAAAAAAAAAAACTTGCTTCTCTAATCTTTTTGCATTCTATCTATTTGTTTTCTTTTTATTTATTATACAATTATAATTCTGACTTTCTGACTTCTGATTAACAAAAGCAAAAAAAAAGCCTCTAACACTAGCTTGCTCTATTCTTTTTCTATTCTATTTTTTTTCTTTTTATTTATTATATGATTTAAAAAAAAAAACTTGCTACGTGTACTGCATTAAGCTAACTGAGACTTGTTATAGCACTTGCATATCATTGCTCTTTTGTTGATTTTGATTGCTTTCATTGTCCTCATTTGTAAGTCGCTTTGGATAAAAGCATCTGCTAAATGTAAATGTAAATGTAAATATTGGCACACAAGTGAGAAAATGTAATTTTTCCACTTCTGAGAATAAACACTGAACATTTGACTTCATTGTCACATCACTTCATTTTTACGCCTCCATCTGCCGGTACATTTAGAGCAGTGGTGATTATACTGTTTGAAACATCTCTGTGCCCCTTTTTTTTGCGGTTGTCACACCACTGTCTCTCTTGCAATAACAATATTTGATGGTCTGAGCATTGAGGGACCGGTAATAGATGCAAGGCCTCAAGCCCCCATCCTTCTTGTTGACGAAGAAGAAACTTGATGTGGCAGGGGAAGTAGATGGGACGAATGAACTTCTGTTTCAGAGCCTCTTCAATGTACTACTCCCTGGACTTTTGTTCCGGGATGGACAAGGGACATGAGTCGCACTGAGCAGTGAGCAGTGAGCAGTCTGGCACACGAGAGATGGATGGAATCCACTTGCATGTGCTCTGGTGCTGGAGGGCTGGCAGAGTGGGTTGCGAGCAGAGGAGCTGCAGCGGGAATGTTGGAGGTAATGTCAGCGAGCCTCTGAGAAATCCATATTGAGCGTTGGATGAAGGCCTCTAGTCCAATTATGTCATGATAGATGGCCATTTGTTGATGGATCTGCAGGTACAGACAGTGCTGATAAGCGGTTAAGAGGGCTGTCTCGTTCCAACCACTCGTTGCCGTGAGTGTACGAAACTTTAGGGCATAGTCCATAACAGATGATTTCCCTTGCCGTAGACAGAGCAGTTGGTTGTTAACAGAAAGGGTATTAGCAGTTTGACCAAACACTTCTTTAAAATGGGTGGTAAAGGTCGTCAGAGCCATTGGCATCCCAAATCACTCTAGCCCATTAAAGAGCTCTTCCTGATAGAAGTGAAATGATGTATGCTATCTTGGCATGGTCTGAAGAGAATAAGTGAGGCTGAAAATACAGGGAGAATTGGAGAAGAAAACCATTGCATTCCTCCACCTCTCCACTGTAGGGCGCTGGCCGTGCCATGGGACTGTGGTGTGGTGGTGAAGAGGATGGAATGGTTTGTGGGGGTAGAGATTGCCGTACAGCCTGTATGAGTTCAGCAAATGGGTCTGATACAGGGCGACGAACATCGCTTGGGTCCAAGATGTGTTGTCGGTCTAGTCTTCTGTCACAACAGAAGAGGATAGATGGCAGATAAGCTCAACACAGATCTTTAATTAGCAGTGCAAGCAATGGAGGCAAGCGATGCACAGCAAAGGTAAGTATCACACAACACCGTAAATAGTAATTCAGCAGAATGGAGGAATGAACAGTCTTTAACTTGCAGGTACAGGCAGTCGGATGAGAAGGCAGAAGACGATGGATCCAAACTTGAATCAGGGACAACAAGGTGAGTCTAGGAGCATGATCAAAGGTAGAGAAGAGACGAGACTGGTGACTGGTGCAGTGAGTGCTTATGAATGGTGGGTAATGGTGTGAGTGATTAGAATTCCGGGGAGAGTGAATGAGTGGGTGGAGTGCAGAGGTATGGCGCTGCTCTGTTGGTTGACTCCGTGACAGATGTTAGTGATGATACAAATGCTGAATCTGTGTTTATGTTCCCAGAAAGGAAAAAAAAAAGAGAAAAACAGAGGCAGAGTGAAAAAGACTAATGCTACTGATTGGAAGTGAACAGCACTACTGTTTTTTCCACTAGTAATATTACATCCAAACTTCACTTAATTTAATTTATTAAGTCACTTAATTCACTTGTATTTTAAAGAGCAGACAGCATTCTGACCAGACCCTGATGTTCTGCCATTCTTTGCCCTTATTCCAGTTGTCATCCCAGTCAACCCATCAATCAACCACAACAACAGTGTACTGTACAACTAGGATCTACAAATCAGCAGCCAGAAACCTGGTTGTGGTGTCCAATTGGCCACTTCACCACAACCAGACAACCTTGGAGGTTTAAATTTAAGACATCAGGAAAATCAGACACTTCTTGTCATGTTACTTTGACCTCTAATTTTCTAATTCAGTTTGAGAAACCTCTTTTTTTTTACAACAATGAATTTCTAAAAATGTTACACAAAGCTTAGTGCCTTTCAAATGGAATAGTGAGTTCCTCTATCCTTTTGCTTCACTCAGAACACATGAGTGTGTTCAGCACACCTGTCACTATGGACAAGAAATGAGCTGTTCTCAAATCCTCAGCCAATCCCTGCATTAAACTGAACACACACACAAAAAATGATCATAGCTCCTGACAACTGTAAAAACATTGATCTAACATGCTTCATGGCAACAGTAAATTCCATTTATTACTGTTGTTTACCTAAAAACAGTTCATCTCCTGAAAAATACAGAATGTATGTGGTCTCCAGTTTTGATTGCCCATGCTGCAAACATGACACACTTTAATTAACTCCTGCCCATTAAAAATACAATACAACCATTTAATTACGGAGCCACAGAACAACAACAGAGAGAGTTGTGCACAGCAAACGAGAACACAGATGAACACAAGATAAACAAATGGCTCAGTTCCTTGACATATCAGTAAATATCAGGATTCAGAAACCCTCTTTTGAAATGTCAAACTTCCAGCTTGCAATCTGGCAAAACATGAATAAAAGATGTCATAAATGGATCAAACTGGTTGCATTTCATATATGGGGTAAACCAAGATCAAGGGAATCAGAGACACTAATCACACACTTGTGGTGACCCTGCACTGGAACAACTGCATCACCTCAAGGGAATGTGGGTCACGGTGAGGATCAGGCCTTGAGCCCTGGATGAATGGCCTGCTAAATAATGACTCAACTGTTTGTTTTCAAACAATGACCTCAGAAAGTATTTAAAAACCTAAGCCCCACTTAATATGGACAAATTTAATTGTGTTATATCAAACTAAGTAGCATTCGATACTAGACATTTTCTATTCATTTACTTTATCTATAATTTATTTATTTTTTTTTACCAACTGGGCAAATACATTTTTAGTTCACATCGGTGTCAATTCTTGAACAGTATATAAACTATTTAAAACACAAAAATCTCTTTTTGTGAAATATTTGAAAAGTAGTGTTTGAGGGGCTGGGTGATGAACAACTTAACACTCAAACCTCATCATGTCCTTAACGTTACCTATAAAAATAGCAGCTGGTATAAATGAAAATGTTCAGTGAAGGTAAACACAGAGATAATTATAGTAACTCAAGAGTATGAACAATCATACATTTTGACGATTTGACGATGAGTATCTGCAGTGTCAGTCCCATTCTGTAAGCACTTCATAAAACTGCATGTGGCTCACTTGGATGTGTTTAGAAGTTTCCGACAGAACATCAATTTCAGATCACAGATTAAAAGTTGTATAAACAAAGAACAATCACATTATGTCAGGGTGATGATTCAAGATTTTTCCCTAAATCAGTGAAAAAGAACAGACCACTGAAAGTTATATTAAAAAAGTATTTTTTTTTAAATCCTCAGCTTTTCCCAAGCCCTCATTAAAAATAATGTTTGTGCTTTAAAAGAACATTCTTTAAAACAAGTGCAACTTGGTTTGATGTGTATCTATGCATCTATGACCAGCAGTAGTATTCAGGCAGAGAAGATACCTTATCAAGGATGAGGGCAGCTTCATTGGTCTGTCTGTCAGTCACTAGAGTAAAAACCTCCTCCTCATTCCCAGATTCAAGTCTGTAGTCCACCTGCCAGCTGTCCCCACCCCACTCATCCGCATCCCATGCCGACACTACAGTGACTGTGGTGCCCACTGAGGAATCCTCAGCCAGGTGGAAGGGTCCATACTAGAGAGACAGAAATTAATTAAAGATTTCTAAGATACTGTATGCAATTATGATAAAAATGGAGAATAGAGAAAGCATTAATAGGTCTGTGATTAGAAACCACAATATTTGTAACAACTTTATGAAGTTAGCCTTTAAATAAATGATACAGTCATGGTCAGAATTGTTGGTACCCTTCGTAAAATAAATCTGCATTGTTAATCCTAATGATCTTTTATTTTAAAAATGTACAAAAATATAACCTTTCATTGAAGAATAAGAATTTAGAATGGGGGGAATCTCATTATGAAATAAATGTTTTACTCTAATACATGTTGGCCACAATTAATGGTACCCTTAGAAATTCTTATGAGTAAAATATCTCTGAAGTATATTCCCATTCATATTTACAATTTTTAGTACACCAGGGTCATTATGAACATGAAATTATCCAGCCATTGCTTCCAGTTTCACATGAATATAATTATGAGGGAAAACAAATGAATGAATGAATGAATTCATTAATTCATTCATGAGGGGAAAAAAAGGCCAAATTCTCTTAATCATCCATCGCAATGAGTAGTTCTCAATATGAATATAGTTCTGATGTGCAGCAACAGATAATTGAGCTTCAAAAAAGCTGAAAAAAAAAAGCTAAGAAAGTGGCTTTAAGAAAAGAACTAGAGCATTTAAAATTCCCATTTCCACCATCAGGGCAATAATTAAGAATTTCCAATCAACTAAAGATGCTATAGATCTTCCTGGAAGAGGGCATGTGTCTATCTTTCTAATGCTCGGTGAGGAGGAGAGTTTGAGTGGCTAAAGGCTCTCCAAGGATCAAAGCTGCAGAATAGCAGAGATTAGTTAATCTTGGAGCCAGAAAGCCTAAAAAAAATGTCAAACAGCACCTACACCCCCACATGTTGTTTGGGAGGGTTTCAAGAAAAGAAAAGAAAAATCAAAAAAAGAAACTGCTCTCATCCAAAAACAAACTCCAGCATATTCATTTGCCTGGATCTTCAAACAGGACTGGGTTCTATGGTCAGATACAACTAAAAAAAATAGCTTTTTAGCAGCACTCAAGATAGGTTTGGTGTACACAGGAGTAAAAAAAGTACCCCATGTGTACAGTACAATGAAATATACTGCTGTCCCTTTAATGTTGTTGGTGTATTTTGTTTTTCTGCCAGAGGTCCTGGACATCTTGTTCAGATACATGGCATCATGGATTCTGTCAAATAACAACAGATAAAAAAGTAAAAACTGACTGTTCATACTAGAAATCTTATAATGGGCCAAGGCCAAAAATGGGTCACTGAGCACAAAACAAATATGCTGCCATGGCCATTCCAGTCCCCTGACCTGAACCCTATAGAAAATGAGTGAGGTGAACTGAAGAGGAGAAGCACCAATATGGACCTGGAAATATGAAGGGTCTGGAGAGATTCTGGATGAAGGAATGGTCTCTGATCTCTTGTCAGGTGCTCTCTAACCTCATCAGGCATTATAGGTGAAGACTCAGAGCAGATCTTGGCAAAAGGATGATGCACAAAGTAATAAAGGGTTCCATTAATTGTGGCCAACGTGTATTAGAGAAAAACAAATCATAATGAGATGTCCCCCCATTTTGAATTCTTATTCTTCAATGAAAGGTTATATTTTTGAAACATTTTTAAAATAAAAGATCAATAGGATTAACAATGCAGATTTATTTTCACAGCCATTTTTGATCATATTTACCAACAATACTGACCACGACTGTATTTAGGTTTCTAAGGCAAAACACATTGAACAAATGTATGCATTAAACACATAATTTTTGAGTGTTCTCCAGTTTAGAGAAACAGAACATGTAATGTAATTAAATATTATCAGTATACACTACTGTACTTTTTCTTTTTGGAAAGAAATTAATACTTTTATTTAGCAAAGAGGCATTAAAGGGAGGCATGAAACTTCATCCAGAAATAAACATTATGTCATCATTTACTCAATCTCAGGTTGTCCCAAACCTGTATGAGTTTGGCAAAATAAGATATTTTGAAGAATGTTGGTAACCAACCAGTTGACAGTAGCCATTGGCTTCCACAGAATGGGGAAAAAAATACTATGGAAGTCAATGGCTGTTTGGTTACCAACATTTTTCAAAATACCTTCTTTTGTGTTCAGCCGAGGAAAGAAACTCATACAGGTTTGGAACAAGTGGAGTGCGAAAAAATGATGACAGAATTTTCATTTTTGTGTGAGCTAATCCCTTTAAAATTATCAAAAGTGACAGTAAAGACATTTATATTGTAACAAAAAATATATATTTCAAATACATTCTGTTCTTTTGTACTTTCTATTCATCAGAGAATCCTGAAAAAGATGTATCACGGTTTAAACAAAAATATTAAGCAGCACAACTATTTTCAACACTGATAACAATACAAAATGTTGTGGGCCCCCTGTACTCAATCCCACGTTTCCCCTGAATGGCTGTCAATGGAGAAAGATGCTTTCTAAATTCAAATGGTGTAGTTACAACATCTACCAGCAGGACAACTAGACAACCATGGCCACTTGCTATTGTGTTGCTGACGTTCAGAACTTCAGAGTCTTCAGAAGAGCTGTATTCAGATGCTAGTCACTCTTTCACTGGTCTGCCCAACCAAGAATTGTCAACACACACCTCCAGCACTTCACAACTAAACTCCTAACATACAGACATGACCTTCTAAAAAATGTTTCTACTTTAAGAGAGAGTGAAATAAAAATAAGGAAACAGAGGAAGAACCAGAATGTTAGCTGAATGTGGCATGACAGTGTCTAGCAGGAGAGTAGAAAATGTGTTTGTGAATATTTCTGCAAACAAGGCTGTTCATTAATGTAAGTACAGCACCATTCATCAAAACATCATTCATCTAAGAAGTTTTGGCTCCATCACAGTTCCTAAAATTCATTGTCAACTAAATTAGGGGATACATGATGAAAATGAAAGGCACACAGCCAGTGAGGTGAGCTTTATGGATGTTTCCAGAATGCAGAACAGAGCAAGTCTTTCTCTTCTTTCAAAGCGGATCTAAATATACCTGCTGAATTCAAGCCAGCGCCACTGCTGCTGCCCTCCATCTTCACACCAGCACTCTGTCTGCACCCGCGTACATCTCCTGTATTATTCACAACACGTAGGCGTAAACACGCAGGGTATTTTCCAGAAATCAGGGACCACTGCCTGCCTACATCCTGCATCTGCTCTTCATCTCTCCTTTTGCTCATATCTTCCCGTCATTTTAGTCAGTGATCATCTCACTGTTTATTATTCAACTCGGCTGCATCAATGAACAAAGATGATGACATAAGAAAGGCGCTTAGGGCTGTTCTGCATAAGTGAATGCGCTCATGTAGCATAAATAGATAGCGCTACAAATTAGTAAGTGGTCATATTTAGAACATCACTTCAGGATAAGAAATATTTCCAAAAATCGGAGAATCAGATATGTTATGCAAACATTTGAACTTATGCTCCACATTAACATCACAGCACAGTACATTATATTTCATTTGTTTACTCAATGTAATTATGTACTGATATTAACATCCTGGCTTATACAGATAAGATGATACTTATTTAATTGCTCTGGTCAATGACCAAATTTTTTAAATTCATAATATATATATACTATCATTTTCCTATTTATTAAAATTCGACACTATTTTGTCTAAAATAAGAGAGAAACTTCAATTAATCCTATACAGTAAATGCTACAAATGATTTTAGGCTTCGCAACATCAAAAAAAAAACCTACATTAAAAATAGATATTCATTTTGATATTAGATACAATTACATTTTACATTTAACAGTTTACTATTAAATTGAATGAATGAATCAGTTAATTAATTAATTATTTAATTTAATTATCAAATAAAAATATATAAAAGTAAAATAATTACTTTTGCCACCACACATTCACCCAAAATCAAAAATTCTGTCATAATTTACTCACCCTTGTTTCATTCCAAATTATTTTTTTTTGGAATGAGGAACATAAAAGAAGTTATTTTTAAGAATTTGGTAACCAAACCGTTCTATTGCATGGACAAAAAACACAATATAAGTCCATTGGAACCGAAACTGTTACCAGCGATCTTCAAAATATCTTCGTTTGCGTTCCGCAGAAGAAAGAAATGCATACAGGTTTGAAATGAGAGTAAGTCATGATAGAAGTATATTCAACATCAAGCGATACCAATAAATTAAAAATATATAATATAGAGTTGGCTGATAATTGATGTGATATGCATCATTCATTCCTAAATCTAATATATTTTCAGGTAGAGATCTGGTACCTTGAATATAACAATCTTGAATATAACGAAATAAACCCATGACTCGAAACGATAGAAACGATCCATATCTAGAAACGATATAATAAAATTGAATGACAAAATGGCTTGCAAGCAAGCAATCAAAGTTATGAGATCATTACTGGAGAAATGCAGAAATCATCTGAATAAACTTAATTGGTGTCATCCAATTATAGCTGTGAACACTGTTCATTTGTAGTGCTCAAAACTATAAAAAGAAACACTCCCAGCTAAATTATTACATGTCCATAAGCCTGAGATTAAAGCATGGATTCCACCTGAAAGCTCTTTATCTCATCGGCCTCTGTAAATCACATTTTCTAGAACACAGGTCTTGTACAAACACACACACTAACAGATAAAGAGAAATAAAGGGAGAAAGAAGTCCACCTGCCAGCTGAGATGACAGCAAAAAAAAAACTAAAAAACAAACAAACATCAAGTGTCTAAAGGGAACTGATCTCATTCACAAAACTGAAAATAATATATAACAAAAACAGCAGTACCCATAGTGCACAGTCCATACCTCATGATGGGAAAAGATTGGTGGGTTGTTGTTTTCATCCAGAACTTTGACTATGACAGTGCAGGAGCTGTTCAGCCCTGAGGAACAAGTCAGAGAACATATTGATTATCTGTTAATATCAATTAATATCAAGCGACATAAAAAGTCTTGCAAGATCTCACGTTGCTGTGTGACAGTACATCAGATTCTACATGGCATACTATTTATGTCAGCTGACACACTAGTCACACTGTGTGTGTGTGTGTGTGTGTGTGTGTGGAAAGAAAAGTGACATTTTGAGAGCCATTATTTAGGTCCATAAAATTACAGAGATCAATTATAGCAGCTCCATCATGCTGCATAACTACAGTAACTACCTCAAGTGTTACATGAAATTATGTTTGAGCATCACAATGTGAAATCTGAAAAAAGGTGTCTCTAATCACACAAACCAATCAGAGAAGATTGCACAAAATGACACCAGTTATATTACATGGTGCCATTTTGCAAGACTAAATTAGCATTGATCAGTGTTGGTGATGTGTCGACCTTTAGCGTCCTCTGCCGTGATGGTGAGTGTGTACTGTGGAGCGGTGCCCTCCATGCTGTCCGCCTGCACTGTGATCACTCCCGAGTCCCGGTCCACACGGAACAAATTCCGGGGAGTCTCAGGCATCTGGCCCACCAGCCGATAAAATATCCGCACGTTATCGGTTTTCGGATCGTCGTTGTCAGCTGCTTGGACTGTGAGAATCTCTGTACCTGCGAGCAGAAGATCATACCATTCGCTAACTTGCTTTTTTTTAGTATTTAAATAGCATTTATATAGTGTGTGTAACCTTTAGTCGCAAGCTCCTTGACCACCGTGTGGTACTGCATCTGTGGGAACGTGGGCCTATTGTCATTGGCATCCCCCACCATCACTCGCAGCTCCACGGGCTTAGCAATCTCTCTGCCATCTGGCCTCTCTACCACTATGTTAATATGAAACTAAAAGGGAAAAGGGATTATTGTGAATTCTCATTTGCAAAGAAAACAGTATGTCTTCTGCCAATGTATTATAGTCATCTGTGGTCTGGAGTGCATGATGAAGAGAAATCATGCTCACTGAAATCCTAAATATACTATATATTGAATAGAAAAAATATTAAAAAACAAAATAGAAATTTTGTTTCTCTGTATCGAATACACCTGTTGGCTAAAATTCAAAGGCTTGCTTATAAATTTGAAGATGTTCTGTCACTTAAAAAGTGGCTAGTTATCTGAAGGCAGGGAATCTCCAGTAAGCAGACATATTTACATTGGAACATCTTAAGACATTTAGACAACGTTCACACTGTCAGTGTTTGGGACTGACAACTGCATTTACTTTTAGCGTGAGTCTTAAAATGTTCTGTTCAATTAGCAGTCTGAATGTGCAACTGAAGTCAAGCTCGTATTCTATTTGTGACTATCACCTTTAACCATAGCGACAGTGACTAAAGTCAATTTTAAAGATGGCAAAATGATCTAAAAAGATCTAAAATGGCAAAGTCTTATCACGTGACACGACAAGAGTTCAACTGAGGCGTTCCATGTTAATTAATCAACAGAAGGTTTATGCCTCAGTAAGCAGAGGATTTGAGTCACGCGCAGACCAAATAAACTGTGGAGGATGGTGACTGGATCTAAACCTTCAGATGACACAAAGCTCATATCTACGTCTCTGAATATTACTGAAACCATACATGAAAGCCCACAACATGTCACAGAGGGGCTCTATCACACTGTATAACGTGATGTACGACTAGTTATGAGTCCTGAAAATTTACTGGTGTGAGTTCAGTTATAGAATGCGGCTGTCACTCTCGTAAATAAATAAAATTTGTTTGAATGCAACCATATTAATGACTCAAATACTGGACTGGCAGCTGCATTTTGCTGCTGAGTGAATGTGGCCTAATGGAGTTACATGGCTGGAGGAGTGAAGTCATGTAACATCACTGTGTGATCAGTAACAAACAATTGGGATTTAGAATGGTATATTTAGGAACAGTATTTATTTACTAGTTCATATAATCCTCAAGCATGACATAGGATTTGGTGTGCTGTCAAAAACGTGTGCAGGACTCGGCTCAAGCTTTAACATGAACTACTGGTGGACTACTTGATTTAATAAATAAATATAAATGGATAAAAATGACCATCAATAAATGATATTGCATTGTGGAAAAAAATGGAGCTGGAGCAACACCAGATTTAGGTTTTACAGTTCTCACTCTTGTTCTCTTATCATTCAAATATCAAAAGCAAAACAACAAAAGTACATACGAGATTAACTATTGCACATTAGAGTTTCTGTAGTCATTCTGTTTTTATAACATTCAGAGAGGGTTTAGCACATATAGTACTGATGTAAACATATACAAGTATGACAGAAGTTTTTTTTTTAATCTTTCACCTGGTCCTGTGTTTCTCTGTCCAGAGGAGCATTCAGGTAAATTATTCCTTCCCTGTTGATAGTGAAAAGCATTTCTGGAAACTCTCCCTCAAGGCTATACTCAACTGGACTGCCACTCCACTTCACCTGCAAACACACACACACACACACACACGTTGGTATTGGGACTCTCCATAGGCGCAATGTTTTTTATACTGTACAAACTATATTTTTTACACCCAAACCTACCCCTCACAGAAAACGTTGTGCATTTTTAGATTTAAAAAAAAAAACACCATTTAATATGTTTTTAAAGCCTTTAGAATAACAGGGACACAGGTAGTGTCCTCATAAACCACCTTCATTTTGTAATACCTGTGTCATACCCATGTCATTATACAAATTTGTGTCCTCATAAACCACCCAAACCAGTGCGCGCACACACACACACACAAAATACACAACATAACCAATCAATACTACTGAAGACATTAACTGTAGTTAACTTGAATGAACATGTTTACCCAAAGGCCGATCTTAAAATCAAGATTGCTTTCTTTATACAATGCTCACACAAGGCACCTGTGAGGGCACCATCCAAATGGCTTGGACATCAGATTTAAACAAAGATGAGATACAGTGTTTGAGGAAAACCCTGCCTGTTTAGGCACTGCTGAAAGTTAGCTGATAAGTGCGGTGAGGCCGGCACCTGCCAAAACAAACCAGCTGCCCTCGCGATGGAGGGATTTTCCACTGCACTGCGACACATGATGCAAACGGTCCTGGAAAGGGTGTGGAAACGCACCGAAGAAGGAGAGGACCCTGTACAGGGGAGAGTGAGGGGGATATGTGTATCTCCTCAGTACCTCACCCTCCAACCGTTTGTTATGGAGATGGCTCTCCAAACTCAAGCACTTTGTATTCATCAGTGGGCCTCTCTAAAGATGACCTGCCCACACTGTTATGAACCGTCAAGAGCAGGGCTTTGAAGAGATTAATGTGTGTCGTCCTGCTGTTCTAAAAATGGTGAGCACCAACTAAGGTGATGTCATCTATTTAGTTTCCAAAGCCTGTTTTTGATAGAAGTGATAGAATCCTCTTAGGACGAGTCAGTTCATGCCTTTGATGTTTAGTGCTGTGGATTGACAAGAGAGAGTGTTAACAGTTGGATGTTGAAAATATATTCTTGTGATAAGGAGTTCATCCATGCACATTGAGGAGATGCAGGTTAATATGGAAGCCCTAGGAGACCATTATTATTTTTGTTCTGTTGCGTTTTCTTACGATCACGAGAAAATAAAAAAATACTCACCCTTTCACCGATCAGTCGGAAATCATTTAATCGCATCTGACAAACATCCTTCTATAATCATGCAGGAGTCCTGGACACTTGATTTGGCTAACAACTAAATTAATCAGTTACTATTGTGTCTATGATGATGAAGTTGTAGCCTCCTGCTCCTCCTCCTCAAGTGTTACTGATACTGATTTGGAAATGCTTCATCACTGAGTCACAGTAGTGGATCTCTGATCAAAGTAATTTAAAAATAAATAAATAAAAATAAATTGCTCATCCATGATGCAGTCATATATATTGGGGTTATAAATGGAAAAATTGAGGGGAAACAACTTTTATTTCGAGATCCTGATAAGCAACATTTCTTGTGTTGAATTGGTAGACAAGAAGTTATGCCTTGAGACAATTAGTTCCTTATAGATGTTTCGGTGAAGGACAGAATGATCAGGCTTCTTCTAAACTAATGTTTAGAACTTAATTAAAATGCAGCACAGTAAAATCCAAGCACCCTGAAGAGTGTGTCCTGTTTAAGCAAGACATTTTTTACCAGCATCTTGCAAAATAAACCACAGAGTATCACAGATCACAGATTTACTGGAACAATGCCCAGAATTTGTTTTTAGCCCGGAGCTTAATGACATCCTCCACAGACTTGATTTAAAATGCTTCTGCTGTCACCCTATCTGTCTCTCATACACACTCAGTCACAAACAGCAAATTGTGACTCTTGAGCTGTGATTTGCCATGTAGGGTAAATTTGAGCAAAAAAATAAATTAAATAAATTGGAGAGAAAAATTTTATTGCACTATTGTGGCATCAGCACAACACATTCCCCCGGTTTCACAGACAAGGCTTAAGCCTAGTCCCAGACTAAAATGTAAGTCTGAGCTGTTTCAACTGAAAGAAACTTGCACTGACTGATGTTGAAATATATCAGTGCCTTTGTTTTGTCTCAAGATGCACACCAGTAATGTTTTTTTCTAAGGCACTGTAGCGAATCAGCTCAAAGGGGAAATATGAATAATTAATCATAACTAGTTATAATTAATTATAAATATTTAGATCCACTGTAAGTATTTACTTGACCTCTCAGGGTCAACTGTCTGTCAATTCTAAGAACGTTAATTTCCTGGTTAAGGGAAATAACTTTCTTACTGTACAATACTACTCATGTACTAGCATGTAGCAGAAATCTGCATGATTAGTGACTACGATTATGAGCAAACAATGAACAACCTCAGGTGTGATACAAGTAAGACTTTATTAACTACATAAACACTTAAACTAGTCTAACATACACCTACACATACACACACACTCATATGGCTTGTTAACTGAGGGGGGTTACAGAGTATTTGTTAAATATAACTAACAAAAACTATATTGTGTGTCTGATTGGTCCAGACGCTACAGCATGTTAATAAAAATTACTTAAATGTCCTAACTGAACTATGGCCTAATCCTGGCTTAGTCTAAGCCCTGTCTGTGAAACCAGGCCAATATCTATGAAATGGGGATTGGGCAAGATACTCAGTTTAACTGCTCTCCTGAATTGTGTCACCCCTGTATTTGGTGGATTTGAGTGAGAGCAAACAAACAAAGCTGACATCCCAAGCTGAAGTCATCTACTAAGCATTATGATCAAATAAAGCTCTTTATCTGAAATGCCAAAAGGGTTTTGTCGGAACACGTGGAGTTAAGAGGATTGAGATAAACTGTTTTTATGTTTATTTCAATGCCGTTTTAAAAATAGCAAAAATGGAAAAAGATTAAATGAGGAGAGCACAGGCGATGCTTTCCAGCAGTGTTGCTATGAGAGACAGAGAGAAATGCACGACACGCAGACTCTGAGTCCTTCATGACCACTAATCTGTTTCATAACCAGTGTAACTACAGCCACCCACATGCACATCACAGCACACACAAGTGGGTGGGAAAAGGCTTTTCCCATTTAAAAACAGAAAAGAAAAAAAAATCAAGTCAAACCCAGCAACCACATAGCACACATATGATTGTTCCTTATCTGCCTCCCTTACATCAATAGTACTTTGACGGAAATTAATTTAAATATAATTCAATGCAATATCAATCTGATGTTCCATTACAGCATATTTTTGTATTAAGATTATATTGCTTCATATTTTATATTAAGATTAAGTTATTTTTTATAAGATTAAGTTATATATTAAAATGCAGTTAAAATTGCACATATCAAAACCAATACTATAATAAAGAACAGTATTTCCAGAGCCTCACCAGTAAGACTCAAGTACCCCTTCATCCACATCACTAAAATTATATATTTTTCTTATTAAAAAGTATCAATGTGGGTAAATAAATAAATAAATAAACTCACAAACTCACAAAAGCACATACATTATTTTACAAATGTCATTCAAAGGAATTAACTTGCACACATTTAGCATATTACTCTGTTTTCTTTTCTTAAAAGAGGCCTGAAAAATTATGATATCATGATTATTTCTTGTAATCTACTGATAGCCCTAATATTTTAACCCTTTAACTGTCACTCACATTTTTGAACATAGACGTGAAAGTGTACGATCCAAACTTAAATTTTTATAATTCATGAACAAAAACATTTTGTAACATGATATTGATGTACCATTTTCATGGTAATGCAATGTTTGATTTTAAAATGGGTTTCAAAGGATGAATTTTGAGATTTAAAGTTTTCAATTGATATATAATTTCTGATGATTTCTAAAGTGTGATAGAGAAAAAGGCAACGAAGAAGACTTTTTGCTACAAAGGTCAGAACTCCTGTTATGATGTAGACTTTTGAGGTGCACTCGTCATAAATTAATCTATTACTTTTCCTACATAATTTTTTACAAAAACATTGGTAAAATATCTATTTAGGAGTCTTAGACCTTTCCAACGATATATAGTTTGTCATGATTAGATTAGGATTTCATTGTAATATAGTGAAGTAAACTTATGCGTCTCACAGAGGGGACGGGTGACAGTTAAAGGGTTAAAGTTGAAATTTTATGTTTTAGGTTTAAAAAGCAACATCGAAATCTTCCACCCTGCTTGAGTACATATAGCCCTGGTTTGGAAAGGAAAGCATTTCCAGGAATTTTAGTAGGTGGAAAGGCGCTGGTGTGTGTACGAGGCGCCCAGGAAGAAGAGAGATGACGATCTTTTGCCACAAACCCACAAACAACTTGTGACTGCAAAAGATTATTCTGCAAACACATATCATATGCACTTTCCCCTGCACACTGCGCAATTTCACTCTAATATCACTGACTGTATTCAAGCAAAATGTCACCTTTGCTGGGGAAATAGATGCAGTAAAGATAAGTGCTAAGAGGCCAAAAGTAGATGCCCCACATCCACTATCATGACATCAGGTGTTTCATAGACAGTGACTTTGTGTTAAGATGGCAGTGAGTCGTGACTAATATAAAATCTGAACATAAAGCACAAGGTCATGTCATGATGAAAGCCATGTGCAATTGTGGGATGCTGCCACAGCTTGTCTTTGAAGAGGATGAATGCAATATAAAACAGACTCACCTATGTTAATACACACACACACACACACACAATATCTATCTCATGCCGTCAGTGCATCTAGAGTCCTCTGCTTTCGTCATACCTGTGAGATTGGGATTGGATATGGTCCAGGCAGATTCTCCTGCAGTCTCACAGGGTCAGGTGAGGCCCACGCATTCCCAGTCACCTCCACTAACACAGTTCCAGTGGAGAAGAAAGCGTTGGCCTTGCCGGCCATGTCCTGCACCATCACAGACAGCTTGTAGCGGCCGCACATCTCTGGATCTAGAGTTGAGG